CCCCAAAACCCCAAAACCCCACTACCTATTAATTGAGAGGTATAACAATTAATTAATTATGTCATAAAATTAAGATTATTTAGAATAGCAAAAACAAAACTATAAATCATAAATTTAGTCAAAATGTTATACCGAGGATTAATTGATTTGAGTAGAAAATCAAAGATAACTCATCTCAATAGATAGACTTATTACCTTACTTTGAATTCCTAAAGGTGAATTTAACATCCTTTGAACTTCTAATAAATTTCTTATCTTTATAGCTCTTTAAACCATGTCTCAGACAAATTTACCTAATCTCTTTGAAGTATTTATCATCATCTATCTTATTAATGAGATTATCAGCTGCCTTGTCAAGCTTCTTGACCTCAGTACAGGTCAGTTTATTGTCTAGGAATTACATTTCACCAAGCTAGATATTCTCATCAATCAAGTCAAGATTATTATTATTGATTTGGCTCATAAAGTTTGAGTTATTGTAATGCTGATTGCCTGCCTTACCTGTTAAATCTATATTCTATGACTCAATCATACGAGATTTTTCTGTAAAATCATCATTTTTGCTCTCTAATTCCTTGTCATTAATTTCAATATTGAAGCTCATCTTTAGATGCTATAGTGAATTCTTAGCAGAGTCTTAATGCATACCCCCATGATGGAAAACTGTTGAAGTATCCTCACCTTACTAATCATTTGATGCCATCTCACTATTTCTTCTATTATGCTTATCTCTTATCAGATATTCACTATCATTTTTCTTGCCAGATAGAATCTAAGAGATTTGGAGAGGACTTCTTAAATCCAAGTTGAGATGCTTTACTTCATGACATGGATTATTGCTATAATCATTATTCACAATATTTTTCTTCAATGCCTTGTTTAGTGGTAGAACTTGCCTTTTGTAATTTGAGAGAATTTATATTGGCATTTAATTGGATATCGGAGATAAGAACTCCTTTTTTATGCTTGTTGCTCTCAGTTGAAGATCTTGGATTTTTATGAAGTCTTCTAGCTTAGATTTTTGCTCATATATTGATGCCTTTCTAACTCCACTATTTGAGGGTTTCACTTTTTACATATCTTTTAGATTGTAAACTCCTGATCTATTCTCATGGTTGTTAAACTTGCTAGTAATTATCTGTCTTTACAATTTAGATCCAGAGTTTTAATTTATTATATTTATTGCACTTTAATCTAGTTTTGGCTGTAGATGCATCATTGTAGAGGCATTCTTAGAAAGTTATTAAGGACTATTTGCAGTGATAAAGCTTAGGTTAGATCTTATCCCACCAGAGGACTTTATATCATCTAGTAAGATTATCTGAGATATATCTCTATGATTGTTTAACTAAGTTGTAGCTTACTGCACTACACTCTATGATTTTTATTTATCTATTAAGCTACCATAAGTCCTATTCATATTGTTTGAATGATTTGCATTTGGCATAATTATATTAGTCTAGCCACTGAATGACTAAGTTTAGGTCTAATTTATATTAGAAGAAGTAGTAAATGGCTCTAATTATTTTTAGACTCTAGATTTCCCCAATTAAGGAGACAATTTTGAATTTTCCTTAATATAAACTTTTGTAGGATATTTATTTGCTAAGGGAGTAAAAGTAGCTTCTGATAACTGCAATTCATCATTTATTTAGTTATTCTAGAAAATATTATATGCATAGTTATACTGCATCATCATTGGGAGAAAACTATTATCAATCAGCTTGGCCCTCTGTCCATTAAGCTAGAAATATCTTTCCTCACTAATATTAAAATCATGTGCACCAGGAGTTTATTTCCTATCCGAACTGTAATGCTTTTTTTTCATCCTGTTTAGTAAATATTGGTATTTTGGATTATTATAAATTTAACTCTGATTCATTGTGATTTTTTCATTTCTAAATGACACTAATTCTGCGTTCCCAACTTGATTCATATAGGAATGGATATCTAAAATCATTGATTTTTTTTTATTAAAAGTAAAAAAGGGAACTTACTGTAAGGGTTACTTGTGTTATAGCCTCTTTTCATATTCCTCTTTGACATATAATTTGTCTTTGGCTTTGTTTTAACCTCCATAGATTTGTACGTGATATCGGCCTTGCTAAAGTCCTAAGAACTCTAGACACTATTATCATTTGTGTTCTAAAATGTGTGATTTTATATTATAGGCACTTTGGGCATCGTAAACATTTTTAATCTTTTCCGAATAAAATTATATTTTTATTAATTATTATATTAGTGAGGGAGCGATAAAATTGAAAAATAAAATGAATGTTCCTGATCGAATCAATACAGATAACATCAAAATAGCTTAGAAATCTAAAAATTCTCTAATAACTAAGGCAGATGAGTACTTCCAGAAGAAAGTGCCATTGGTTGATGTAATGAATTCAATAAAGGAGTTGAAAGATATGACACCACTAATGAACAAGCTAGAACTTAAAATTGCCATTTAAGAGGATAAAATAACTGATCTAATGGTACTGTTAAACGAAAGGTAATTTCAAAATGTAGATGTTGAATCAAAGTTGAAAGTATTTTAAGAAGACAATGAGAAGAGATTAAGAGAAATTATAAAACATTAGGAAGAGAGAATCAAGGATTTTATCAATAAGAAGGCAGATATCCAGGATCTCTAGGATCTACTCAGCACAAAGGCTTCAAAAGTTGATTATGGAGAGCTATATAAGAAGTATTCATAAATCTATATTGGTCTTGAGCCATTAATAGTCAATCAAGACATATTGAGAAATTTAGTTAAGAAAATTCAAGACTCAGATTCAACACCAGATGTTTAACAACAGATCTCTGATCTTTATCGAAATTTTTCAAGACTTGAAGCAACCATTGATAATAGAGATAAGCTGAACTAAGAATTTAAAGCAATCAAAAAGGAGTTTAAGATACTGAGTAAATAGGTATAAATGCTATATGAAGAGCATATTTATAGCGTAGATGGAGACGATTCTGAATAAGAAATAGAAAAAAAGAAGAGGAAAACTGAAAAAATTTAGCAGTTAAAGTAACTAGCTTTAAATGCTGGTAATAAGGATTAGGATGGAGAGGATGATGATTCAGACATGTCTGATAGATCAAACTCTAATGATTCTACCAAGGGTCCTTAAGCAAAGCCTCCATCAGAGTAATAAATTCTTCAAAATAGAGCTTAGTACATGAACCTATATGGATTTTCAAAGTAGTTTCTTGATCAGTAAAAAGTATTATAGGAATACACTGCTGATAAAGTATTTCGATATCATTAGCTACAAATAAATGAGGTTTGTGATTATATTAAAAAAGAGGTGGAAAAGCTTAAATCTAATGAGAAACTAATGAATTTCGTCAATTAATTTAAGTCAGAATTTATGTCAAATAAGGATTAAATTTCAAGCAAAATTAAGCACATAGAAGATTCAAATAACTATCTAAACGGCTAAGTAAGCTAGATAAATAACACAATAAAAAATGAACTTTTGGATCAGAAGAAAATTCACATGAGATTTAAAGACTTTAATATTAGACTAGATAACATTCTTACTATTTTTGATGAAAACAATGATAAATCATCTAAAACCCATGAAGATAGATTGAAGCGTATTGTAAATCTAGAAGCTGATGTTCACTAACTTAAATCTATTACTAATTTTTTAAGATCTCAAAAGAGAGAATTAGATATGATGATTAAAAATCAAGTAAATCCAATTAAGCAGGCTAAATATTTATATGAAGAGAGCAGAAATAAATTATCAAGTGATATTAGTAGGTTGGAGTAAAAGTTACAGTCAAACACTACTTTTATTGCTAATGAGTTAGAGAATATTAAAGATCCAATTTAAAATTAGATTAATGATATCAAGCAGGAGAAGAATGTGATTATAAGAGAACTCAAAAAGGTTTATAGAGATAATAGAGACTTAGAATTTGAGAACAGATTTCTGAAGGAGGCAGAAAGCCAAATCGTTTAAAGCTAAAGCAAAATAATAAATCTTCTTAACATGACTGTTTAATCTTAGAACTCACTATCAAGAGAAAGGGTACAATCTAGAAAATCTGAGAGTAGACAAAGACTTAACTAAAATCAGACAAGCACTACACTTGAAGGTGCAGTGAATCAATAATCATTCGATGTTGGTACAAAGTCACATGAGAGAAGTTAACTTTCAGTGTCCCCAATGACAGCAGGCACATTTTAAGCTATTGGAATAAATATTGAAAATATGAGGGACAAATTAATAAGACCCAGTACATCTGTTGGCAAATAAGGATAGAGGACGAAATTTAGAAATTAACGAAGGAATTTAACAAAGAATCAAGATTATCATAAAAGTCAAATGAAATTGAACTAGAACTCTATCCATAAATCAGACAGGAACAATCTTAATTTTTCTAATTTAAGCAAAGGAGTAAACACATAAAAGAATGAGGTAACATATTCAAGTATTGATTATCATTTAGCGTTACATTAAAATCGATTAGTATTTCACTTAAGATAGCAGAAATCTAGGGAATAATACAAAAGAAGATAATTAATATTCTAGCTTTGTGAATACAGACTTAGGTTTTAATGCTACTGGCTAATCACCATTGCTGGATACAAGTATGAAAAAAATGAATAAAACTCAAGTAAATTATTCGGTGAGCAATAATGCAGCTTCAAATTTGGAACAACAAAGCGTATCACAAGATAAATACAAAGCACACAATGATCAAGTTTTTAACAATAAAAACAACCGAACTCTAAAGTTGAACAAATTCAAAAATATTTTTGAAAATCTTAATTGATATTTTTCACTTTTACTCGTAATCAGTTAAAATTTTTGATTGTGGGGTTTTGGGGTTTTGGGGTTTTGGGG